ACAACACCAGTAGGCCGAGTGAATCCTATAATGTTTTTCCCTAAACAATGTCGTTTTAAGTACCGCGGTGTTGTTGGGCTTCCTCGCGGTGACGTTTTAACTCTCCGCGATGCCGCTCAACATCAAACGACACCATTTTTTGTCCTGCGGCATCAAATTAAATGCCTCGACTAATTAATGTAGCATTTAATTGATTCACCGACCTAAACAAAGCTGCAACCATGACTTGATTTTCATCCCGGCTCACATTGCAACACTACAGGCATGCAGCGACCTCTACAAGGTTGTTTTAGGAGAACGACAACGTTTTCATAGCTTCTCTTTCTTTCAATTATTTTAGCTCTACAGGGTGGCAACCACAAAGTGCCAACAACACGGATTTGGCTCTCTTCTTCATATTGTGTTGGTTGATTGTGTAAATTAGTGATCCTAGGGCCTTGAATTGTGTGGTATTGTGGACTATCTACCTGTTATGGACTCCTGTATCATATTTTGAAAAGGAAGGTGCTAAAAAGTGTGCTTAAAAATAACGTCTTCCATACGAATAGGGCGAAAGTGTGTAAGGGGAGACGAGAATCTGTTCCTAATTTCCACCTACTACCTCCAGCCCCCTTACATTCCTTTTCCCCGCACGAGGCTCGAGACATCCGCTCCCGGCATGGCCGGTAAGATCTGGGTTCCCGCAAAACCTTTGCAAGGTGGGAGCCCCGTTTTCTGAAAATCGGGTTGGAACCCCTGAAAAAAATAAGAAAAGAAAATAAAAGAGAGAAAAAAATGAAGAAAAATGGGGGTTTTGTTTTTGAGAGTTCCTTTGTCCACGATTCATTTGTCCCCTGATCACTATTTGCCATGATGCCGACTCGAGACTAGTGCTCTCGCCGAAGAAGTTAGGAGATGACTTGTGTGTTGGTTGACCTCGTAAGTTGCTAAGTTATCTAGAACATCCTCTATCAACGATCTGGGTTGTTTGTTGCTATAGAGGTCTGGAGAGCTGCATTGGTTTGAGGAAGGTTTGCTTGGGGACAAGCATACGGTTAAGTGTGGGGGAATTTGATAGACCGTTAATTGCACATATTTTTACCTCCATTCTTGAGCCATTTGAGATGTTGATTCTCGTGTTTTAAGCCGATTTCACTCTAGGTTGTGTGTTTATGTAACATTTCAGGACTTGGCGTTGACGTGGAGGCGAGGAATCGAGTTTTGGGAAAAAAGGGGACCATTGGAGCATGAAAGAGCTGGAAGGGCAAAATACCCGGCCACGAAGGGAAATACCCGACTGGGTAACAAGGCAAGGAGTGACCGGGGAAAGCTGGATTCCCAGGAAGGGTCCCGGCCGGAGTGCTTAAATCCCCGATCGGGTATTCTTGACCCCGATCAGGAATTAATCCCCTGTCGATGCGGGGCGTTTCAACAATCCACGGCCAGGCACCTGATATACCCCACCGGGGATTCGGACCGGGGATCACGAATGGTTGTTTCTTAAGGGAAAAGAAGGGCAAAATTGAAGGGTTCGGAGTTTTAGAGAAAGAAAGTCATACCTAGAGAGATAAAGCAACGAACCAGAGTTCCCAAGTGCTTTATATCGATCTTCATCACCATGGAGCCTGGCTAACACTTGGAGAAGTGCCGATTGACGACCAGAAGTAGAAACCCATCCTTCACAACATGATTTCTACATCTGAGCTAGCTTTTGCTTCTCTCTCCATGGAGTAACTTCCTCAATCATCTGGGTATGGAGAACCCTAGATTTGTATGTTAGGTTTGATTGTATGAACCCAAGTATGAATTCATTGGTTTGATTATATTAAATTGAGGTTTGATTTGATGAATGGCATGAATCCTGATCACATTCCTGTCGTTTCTGCTTTGACCTAGAAAGATAATATCTGCCTAGGTTGATAGAGTACCCTTGATTGAAGGTAGTGAATTGACGACTTTAGTCGAGGAGTCAATTCACTATTCTGTACTGGATTTGCTCTAGTAGAGTAGGTTTTGTTCTTTAGGGCCTCAATCTGTTTACTCCGGTGGAAGTTAGTCGCCCGCTGGAGACTCAGATTGAGAGGGTCTGGAGACCTTTAGTCGAGACTGCAGACTGTTTAAGAACCTCCCGCAGTATAACTATCTTTGAATTTGAACTTGGTGAATTACAATTCGGTTTAACTGCAGTCTAGGGGGAACCATATCCGAGTGACCTCTCTCAACTTGAAAACAACTGTTTCCTGCTTTGCTTGTTTGTTTACAAAGACCTTCACTACATTCTCATTGCTAAATAATAAGAATATCAGGAGTAGTCAGCACACTTAGGACCCGGGTTGACATTAAAACCCAAACCCGCTATACTACGCTCTAGTGAGTGGTTATACTTGGTCATTTTCTAGTGTGACGGTAAAGGCGAGTCAATAAAGGATTAATCTTTGAAGGGTTTTGAATTTTGATGCTTCAGACAGCTCAATCCATAGTACCTGTTTAAAGAGTTGAATCCGAGAATCTCATAAACGGTAAACCGATCAATCACATTTGAATATGAAGCAACAACTTTAGATACGAAACTTCTATCTATAAATCAACAAAACTAGACCTTCGCTGAAATGACAACGGCAGAGAAATGAACGCACAACTGCATAATGCATGTTCTTACATATTCCAAGAGTTTCGTAAAGGCATCTCAAAGATTGGACTGGAGGTTGACTTCTGGTTTGGTTAATCCAGAAGAGCTTCTTTCTACAAGCATCTCCCCTTATATTTGTTCACGATTACGACTAGGTTTACTCTCCACAGGCGTAAGCAGCTTCTTCTTATCAGTATATTCTTGTTGCTCCTCCCGCTGTTTTCTTTCATAGAACTAGTATGGGGAGAGGCCCCATGGAAGCCAATGATGGATTGTGCCACTTTTCCACTCTCGAAAGACTGTCAAACGATTTGCCATGAGGAGCAACCACCGTCGGAATACCCTCAATCAGGACTTACAAATTACGATCGTCACGAGGTGGAACCTCAACTGGAAGTGGGGACAGCAGAGTTATCTTCAATCTTGAGATTTATGGCATGGAACACAATCCTTGGGAACTATAGGTGCATTAAGTCTGGGCAGAACTTGGAGATACAACTATATAAGACTCTGAGTAACATACCACATGTAATAGTAATGTCATTTTCGAGATAGAAGCAAATATGTAAGTACTGCAAATTTCAAATAATGCATACCACAAGTCTGAGGTGACACTCACTTTTTATTTGATCATCACAAGATCAAAGCTAGAAAGAACACATTGTTCCTTCCAGTCAATATATGTTAATGGTCGGTGAAAGATTTTGAGGAATCTTCAACAGAAGTATCTTCGAAGTCATAAGATGGTGCAGAACACAATCACAAACATAAGTATTTTGGACCATTTTGCATGATCAGAGTGCTTTTAGGGACTCGAGTCTGAATACTGAAGATATTAATTGAACCAAGCAAATAGAAGATAACAAGTCATATAGTTGTAAAATGCTTTATGTTACATGCACAAGGTCAATTATGAAATCTCCCAAGGAAATACAAATTAAGCTCCAAACTGATCAAAACTAACAACAAAGCAGGAAAACATGTTGTCCAAATCTCCTAGCACACTTATGCTAGCAAATTGATGCATATCTCTTGTAAGTAAGATAACTAAGGTCTTGAGAACATCCATCACTCTAGAGAAATGGAAGGTGACAAATTACCAAATCACAACTCAAATTCCTTCCATTCTAGAAAAGGATAAGAGCAACAAATAATACAGTTAGAAACTGGGGAACACTGTAAAAATGGTAAGTGTTAAACGATAACTATTTTCCAATGCAGATTTGCTTGAGTTTCCCCATTAAGATCTTATTCAAAGAAAGATAATTTTAAATAGAACAACTCAAACAAAGAAGAAGCTGGCATTTGCCCACTGGTCCTGAATCATGCCTAAGAGAGGAAAGGCACTATTTGAAAGAAAAACCCTATCCTTACATGCTACTTGAACAGAAAGCCAACGTTCAGCAACAGGGTACTAGAGTCAGCAGGAATATAGTATACTAGTGGATTCGGTCAGGTGGCTTATACCTGGAAACATTATAGCTTAAATTACATATCGTTTTAACGATAGAAAAGAAACATATACAAGATGACCAAACATAATTCTTCTAACTGTAGAGATTGTGAGTTCAACTACACACGAAGAAGCATGAAATGGCCAAACATGGGACGCTACGATTTCATAAAAAAGAAATGGAAAGTGGCTAAAAAAGACAACAGAAGAACTTTGGACATATGCTAAGCGGAAGATGGCACAAGATGTTGAGATGCGAAGTGCTTCTTAGACTCTTGGATGGACTTGGTGGGTGCGAGCGGGTGAAGTGAGCATCTTGTGATACATATATCAGGATCACATGATAGAGAAGGGTTGGAAATAAGTAGTGAATAAGATGAAAAAAGGTAAGATACATCACCATAGAATATAAACACATACCAACTGACTAAAGAAGGGATCACAAAGAAAAAAAATAGGAAGGGAGAATCACAGAGTCTACAGTTGCATATAATGTTCACGTAATTGTCATGACTATGATGTGTAGTGAAAGAAACAAGGACTTGGCCTTTCCGCCCAAAATGGGACTTGGCCTTGTTACCCATCGCCCCTCTGCTACTTTCACTAACGTACCCCCATAAATGGATGAGAGAATTCTATCTTTGAGAGATACCATGGCATGAAGCAAGTGCAAAATACTTTGGAAAGGAAAAAGACCTAACTTATCCAGCAATGATGGAGAATGCATGGCTGTGGCTGAAGGAGAATGACAGTAGTTCTTCCTGGCTCTCCTCGCAAAGGCATCAATCGTGTTGTCGTCCAAATCCAAAAAGTCATACTGACTACAACAACAACCATTTAAAGGTAATGCATAGTAAATGAAAAGGAATGGACCAATATATGGATGTCTGAAATATGTATACAACCTTTTTGTGCCAGACGGTAAATAATCATTTTAGATCACACAATAGGCCAAAAAGGTCGAGGTTTTGAATCTACTAGAAACCTATGAAGTCGACAATTTGCCTCGACAACACTCTGACCAGGAAGCTTTTTCAATTCCCTTTCCCTCATCATGACATATGAAGTTACATCTTGAGGATCCAACTTAAACCACTTCTCTGCAACGAGCTCAGCTAGTTCAAAATGGTCGTAAGTTCTGCAAGAACCAAGCAATGCTCTCCAAACACTTGCATCTTCCTGCACTGGCATCATCTCAATGAACCTGTAAGCCTCGGTCAAATGGCATGCTCTTCCATGGAGATCAACATGCTAGCAAATTTCTCAATACCAGGAACGATGGAGTAGTCCTTACTCATGCTCTCGAAATGCTTCCTTCCTTCATCTACTAAACCAGCATGTCTGCAAGCGCTCAAGACAGCTGTAAATGTCAAGCTATTCGGTCTAACACCCTTTTGTTTCATCGTTTAGAAGAAGTTGAGAGCATCAAATGCAAGTCCATGGTATGCCAAAGCCGAAATAATTGAAGTCCAAGACAACTGTTTTTCGTGGCAACTTTTGAAAAACATCCTCTACCAGTTCTATGCTCCCACATTTTGCATACATGTCAATCAGGGCATTCGAGAATTAAACATTGGTCTCCAACTCCCGCTTTTTCACTAGCCGATATAACCATTTCCTAGTTCCCAATGCTCCCATACCAACGCAGGCGGAAATAATACTAACCATAGTTATATGGTCATATTCGACTCTCTCACACAGCATTCTTAGAAACATCTTTATTGCAAGTCTTCCTACATTATTCTGCTCATATGCTGCAATCATTGCATTCCACATTGGCATAACCCCTGATCAACGTATTCCAAACAAAAGCATCCTTATGTTGCACCCTATCAAATAGGGTTTGAGCATAGTCCATTGTTGAAGATAGCTTGCAAGCCAAGGCAACTAATTTTGTACACATCAGCATATTACATTGAGATCCCCTGGTGAGAATCAGAGCATGGATGCATTTAAGATGCCACAGAGAGGAACAAGAAACCAATAGTTGGTTGAGAGAGGGGATGGAGTGGTAATCAGCATTATTGTAGGGAATTGAAGAGGTGGTGTTCACATAGGTACACGGTTTTATCCATTTTGAGAGTGTTTTACACTTCTGCAATGAGCCAACTGGGATTCCAAAGGGAAACTAAGTTCCAGAAAAGTCTTGCGGAGGAATACAAATGTTCTTCGTAGAAGCTTTTGATCAAGCAGGTGGAGTGCATACCTTTCCTTCACAAACTATACCTGATGCAATGACAGATTGAACGTGAAATATGTCCTGAATGGAGAGCTTGTGCTGGTGAATTCACGTCAATAATTCAAATTGAAAGAAAACCCACTGATCTAAGAGAGCACCCTACAGACCATCTCTGGCGCGCACAGCAAACATAGTTCATTTGAAGTGAAAAAGAACTACTGCAGAGAAACCAATTTTCCCGTGTTTCCCAATTTCCACACCTCGAGAGAGATCGAGAGAGATCGAGAGAGAGAGAGAGAGAGAGAGAGGGAGATCGCAAATTCTGCTGCCAATAGAATTTGAACAAAAAAAATTGGGTTGAAGATCCACTACGAGAGTGGGAAGCTTTAACCGGGTGTGTTGGTAACAAGAAGGCCCGAAAGCCGTTCCCGGCCTCGTCAGGAGAGATGCCAACCATCTCTCCTTTCTACGAACATGTTGCTGTTGTTCCGACGGTAAACTATACAACCAAACTTTCTTTCCGGAGTTGCTCGGTGTGGTAGCTTCTTGAGTGATTAGTTGCAGAAATGGCCACTTAAATGTTGGAAGCTAACAAATTTATTACTAATCTTTGACTTTTAACAAATTTGTTATTGAAGTTAAGATTATTGAATCAATCTGACCAAATAAATAATAGAAATGTGATGTAGAAGTTGATTTATTGAGATGGATGATCCATTTTGAACTCGCCCTCAATTTGACCTCCAAACTCGTTACTCGATTCAATTTCAACCTAAATTATTTGAAACAACATAATAACTCCAAACTCGTTACTCGCAATCAACACATAAATATGTTTCGAATTAGTTTTTAGTCAGCTTAATTATATCAAAACTAATATGTTAGTAATGAATCAAGATAATAATGGAGCTTCTTAAGTCGTATGTATTGAGAATGTGTATGTAGACAAATGATAATTGTATCCGCAGTCAGTGGCGGAGCCACTTAAGGCCAAGGTAGGTCATTTGAACCACCTTGGCCCAAAAATTTGGAATAGGTTTGTTTATATGATAGTTGATTGAGCACAAGATTTCCATATTATTGTAGATAATTTTACGAAAAGTAATGCTTTGTTGTCTCTAATTAACTTTTAATTCATATATTTTGTAAGTGAGTTTAATATAAACCAAAATTTGAAACTTAGGGGTGTTTGTTTCTTTTTGTTGCCATTGCAAGTGTTTGAAAGAGCACTAACTACAATAAGTAAAGTAAAAAAATTCTTCAAAAAATAAGATAAGTTGTGGAATAATCATCAACAATTTTTTTTTACTGTGGTTTCTAACATCCCTCAAAATTTGCATGATGAATGTATTTTAGACAATTTTCAAAACACAAACAGATTATGAAACATAGTTATATTTTTTTTTCCACGTTTGACCCACCTTAGAAGAATTTATGGCTATGCCACTGTCTGCGGTAATGAGATTCTCCTCCCTCAAATACTCGGGCGTTGAGCTTTTGTCTAGTGCCTAGCTCGCCTAGGCGTAGACTAGGCGTGCCTAGGCATTGGAAGAAAAATATCTATTCGCACTACATGATGAATAAAATAATAATCTACAACACTTACTCACCTTAGTTAAAATGATTATTAACTTACTGAACACTTAATGACAAGCTCATGAATTCATAGAATCACAGCTCAATAGCTCACAAATTTCTTGAGCAATTGAAAATATTGATATAGAAAATTGATTTCGTAGTTGATGTTAATTTTCTCCTTTAATATTGACTTCCTAGCTCCATCTAGTAATGTTTAGGAGATACTCATATGTTGCCTTACTCCATCGACGTGTTCCAATATCTAATGAGGCGCGAAACCGCTAGGCGAGACATTTTTCCATTGCCTTGCGCCTAGGCGTGATTAAATGTATGCTTAAGCTTGCCTTTTTGAACCATGCCCGGGATAGAGATCCTAACTTGTAGCCTTGGTATAAAGAACCTAACCCGGTTCCTCCGGGTCAAAAGCCATTTGGCATTCGCATGTCCACGTCTTAGGGTTAGGTTTTCTCAATAGCTTGTAAATCGACTCACAGATGGTGGTCAATTGTGCTATGAACCTGCTAGTAAGTTGTAGTCTCCCTAAAAGCTTGAATTTCCTTCTCAGTTAATCAAGAACTTAACACGATTGAGCTATTTGCGCAAAAAATTAAGCGGTGAAAATTGTATTTCAATTAGCTCTGCCACGTAGATGAAAGTTAAAATTTAAGTCCATGAAATTCACAATATTTGTAACTTGATTTTTTCCATCTTAATACTCTTATAAGTAAGCATGATTTGTCGACTCCATCGTTTACAATAATAAACATGAAATTTAATCTCCAAAATTATCCATGCAAACACTATTTCCAACAACTACATCGAATAAAAATTTCATTGATTTCAATTCAAACTATTATTCCTTGGTTCGAACCTCTTAAAAAATTTAGGCTTAATTCACTTGCATAGCCATAACTATGCACGTTTTGACAATAATAGCCATTTTTTGAAAAATACACAATTGTAGCCACATTTTAGAAACTTGTTTGCCAAAATTAGCCATTTCCGTCAAAAACTTTAATAGCGTTAGCAAGACGCTGATGTGGCTATCCCTCAACTCAACATCAGCTCCAACACACCAAATCAAGCCACATGGCTACCGCATCATATTTTTAAATTAAATAAATAATTTAATTTTCATAAACAACAATCGTTTCCAAACCCATCTCCCCGGAGCTCCAAACTTCTCTGTCAATCGGATCTAAGTTTTCCGATGGGTATGTTGGGTAAAGGAGCTCGATTCATCTAGAAAGTACTGAATCGCTGGAATTCGTACGAGTTCTTCAGATTTGGTTATCCCTTCCCAAACCCTCCTCCTTTCAAATCTCTATTAGCTAGACCCTCAATTGAATCAAAGTGGAGGAGACGACGAAGGTGGTGATTGGTTTCAAAATCGATCACGGTGGTGGTGGTGATGGGTTGGGAGGAACGAAAGACAGGGGGCTGGGGGATGGAAGAGAGGAGGGCACGATATAGGAGAATGTTGTCACCAGAGCTCCAACTCCATCGCCGCGCACTCTTTGTACACCCTCGAAGATGCGACACGACCAGCAACAACCCAGATTGGGAATCCAGATGCGAAACCACCAGCAACAACTCACCTTCTCGTCGATTTCACCCGGCTTTCAGGCGAAACCCTTGTTGAGGAGATTAAAGATATGAGAGGTCACAGACAAGAGAAGGAACAAGTTCTGTTGCCACCGGCCTGACAGTCCCCTTGTTGCTTGATCTCTTCGGCAACGCTGTGGATTGTCGGTAAAGGAGAGTGGAAGCTGCGGTAGCACATCTGTAACCTTAAGTCAAGGAGGAGATCCAGAGAGACGACGGAGGCTTTCCGGTGGAGGTGAGCTTCAATTTGTCGTCGATTGAATGGATTCAGTGAGCTTCAATTTGTGCGATGATTACAACTCGGGCGGTGGCCGAGAGAAGTGAGAGAGAACCTTGGTCTAGGGTTCTCTACTTTTGTCCCTCCAGCCAACGCTAGTCCCGCACACTCGCTACGACGGCCAGCGAGGGTTTTTCTACATTGGTCTCTTCGACTTTCCTCTAGGTTTTAACAATGGGGTTCTAGGCTGCGCAGAAGCCCAGCCATAGGAGAAGATGAAGAAGGAGATGAAGAGAGATGAGATGGGCCAAAGAAGACTAACCAATTTTTTCATTTCATTTCCTTTTTATATTTATATTTTAGTTTATTTCTCATATAATTAAAATAAAAAGTAAACATTACACCTCGCAGTTGGTTTGACGAAAAGTCTCTGCATCACCATAAACGTTTGTCTAGTCAGCATTTGTGAATATACTGTTAAAGTTTTGGACAGAATGGCTATAACTGTGTATTTTTGTAAAAGTGGTTATTATTGTCAAAAATGCGAAAGTTATGATTATACATGTGAATTAAGCCAAAAAATTATCCTAAACTAGAAAGATTAAGTTCAGTAAATCATCTGTTGGTTATTTTGAGCTTAGTTTAGTCTATTTAAGCATATGTATTGTTGGAATAAGGAATCTTATGAATGGCAAGAATTGGATATTGAAGGGAACAGTAAGAATTTGATGTCTGGTTTTTCTTATTGGCTAGAAATCTTAGGGTGGATTTGATGTCTCTCCATGATCAAATCCACCCTTTAACCTCCCTTGTTCTCATGGCCATAACGAGAATTAGCGGGAATGGGAAACGGGATAAAAGAGGAAAATGGTTGAACTTAAAGGCAAAGGTTCCATGGTTAGGACTTACCAATAAATTAATAAAAGAACCATAGGGTTTGGTCGATAGATACATTACTACCCAAGATTGTCACCCAAGAGGGAAGATCAATCTTGGAAAGCATAGAATGAATGACAAAATCGATGATTAAGTCGTACAAAAATCAGAGTGAAATCATGGGTTCGGGGACAGCAAGGAAATAGACGCTGGTCAATCTATGTTTATGGTCGGTCAGGTGTTACAATATGGCCTATGCCTGGAAACATAATAGCTTAAATTACATACTGGTTTCATGATAGAATAGAAACAAATACAAGATGACCAAGCGTAGTTCTTCTAATTGCAGACGTTGTGAGTTCAACTACACACAAAGTAGCAAGAAATGGCCAGCCATGGACATAAACTAAGAGGGAGACGGCACAAGAACTTGAAATACGAAGTGCTTCTTAGA